AGATGGTCCATCTTTCTTGACGAAAGGAAACTATTAATGGCGCCAACTTCCTTCCTTTCATGGTGAACACAAGAAATAAAGTTACGTACCTAGAGACATTTAAATACTTATAAGAGTCACACTTCCACACTTCGGTTTCACGGTAGTTCTCTACACATCATTATCTAGTTAGGTACCTAGAGACATTGCATCGTGCACCAACTACATCCAAATGAGAAAAACGTAAACTAGTCATGATTGTTAAACTATCACTAATTAGTACAAAAATGTTAAGTTGGTTTCCCTAAAAAGTAAAACCCACAACCAAAGGAGAGGACCATAAATAAACAATCAATGCTATTCCTTATATTGTCCATCTTCATTACCAACATGGATGTTAACTTTGGGAGCCTGAAGTTTAGCCTTCTAGTAGTAGCTACTAAAAATCACTACAAGAAATTAGAGTATTACCGGCGACGGGCGTCGCCGCTAAAGGTCGAAAATGTCGCCGCTAATACCTTTAGCGGCGACATGTTGCCGCTAATATCTTTAGCGGCGACACGTTGCCGCTAAAGGGTCGTTGCTATTGCTTCGTCGCTAATACTTCTTTGGTCGCCGTTATTGTCTTCTGTCGCCACTAAAGACGCGTCGCTGCTAATACTATCTGTCACCACTAAAGGTGTCGCCGCTATTTATATGTATTTGTATACATACAAATACACATACATACATAATACACATACATAATACCCATATACATACAAAAACACATACACATACACATACATAATTTGCATACAAAATACACATATACATATAAATGATCATACAAAAACACACACACACATATATATATATATATATATATATATATACATAAAAATACACTCAAAATACACATATACATACAAATGCAAATACAAATACATATCCACATCTACAAACAAAATACACATACAAATACACATCTAAAATATCAAATTTTCGTCATGAACAGTGGTGGTGGCGGTATACTCCAGCAAGAAGGTGGGAAATGGAGAGGAAGAGGGAAAACACAGAAGTAGATCAGAGAAGAAAGTGAAGACGAAGCTGATTTTATTGTCGATTCTCTTTAGCGGCGACGCATCGGAGGGAAAACTATATGGGGTTTCCTACATCGTTGGATCATTGCTTAAATCGATGGATGGGGTTGAAATAACGCGGATCGCCAGAATAGTCAATAGCGGCGACACCTTTAGCGGCGACACACCGGAGGGAAAATAACGCGGGGTTTTCTATGTCCTCCTAGTCGTTGGATAATCATCTAAATCAACGGTTAGGGTTGAAATGATGCGGGTCGCCAACATAAGCCTTTGGCGGCGACACCTTTAGCGGCGACGGGCACTTTTAGCGGCGACAAAAAACGCGTTTGTTTGATGTCGCTGCTAAAAGTGACTATCGCTGCTAAAGGTGTCGCCGCTATGGCCTGTTATTCTTGTAGTGAATGTCAAAACTATTTTTGGGTGTGTTCGGCACGAATCATTTGGGAGAGTTTGAGAGCTTCTAGCTTTTAGCGTTTGACAAAACACTCCGTTTTGAACTAAAAGCCTTGTTTGGAACTAGAAACTTCTATCGTTTAGTTTAAACAAAACGCTCTAAATCCAAATGTTAATTCATGTAGCGTTTAACAAAACGCTACCCGCTATAAGCTACCCACTGTCAGCTAGTTTTGTCAAACACACCCTTCATATATCTTGTTTAAATCGATTAATAGATCCCCTTTTACTATTGGATGGGTGTTTGCATTCAATGATATGTTACATTTGAATGACATCGAATAACTTCTAAGTATATTTATCAAAATGAAGGTACATATAACATAAGTTTTCTAACATATTCCCTATATATCTACCATATTTGTCCTAAAGATCTATGCCATAAAACTTATTGGTTGATAGCAATTCATGTGCAAGATTCATCTGTACCACACTTCCCGTAAACTTCTATCAAACCAAGAAGTAAATATCTATTCATGGATCTTTGGAACAAATTATACAAAATTAAAGTGAATTTACAAAAAGTGAATGACTAATCTAAAAATTGTAGATAATATACAGTTTCGAGATTGCTCATTAGAGTTTTGAAATTGTTCTATAGTTTGATAAAATGTAGACTCTATTTTAGTGTACATGAAGAATACAAGACCACAATCTACCATGTTTAGGCACTTTGTAAGAACTTTATAACATTTAGACACAAAGCTAACTAAAAAGCTTAAAAACCAACAACATTACAGATTCCTTAACAAGGAGTAGGAGAGTCTTTATCTTCCGTTCATGAGTTGGTGACAATTTTTGAGGGAAATGAGGTCAACCCAACATGGTGCATCAAGGGACTAGCTACCCAATTGGGAGGAAAGGACAATGATTGATTTCATCAAAATGGTTTCTAAGGAAGTTGGTGAAACCCTATCATGGAAAAGGGGAGGTGTGATCCGAGATGCCATGACCACCAAACAAACAGGGGTAATTGAAAAGAAAAACCGAAGTGGGTGAGTAAGGAAGCCGTGCAGTCATATGCATGAATATATATATATATATATATATATATATATATATATATATATATATATATATATATATATATATATATATATATATATATATATAGCCATGGCTTTTGCCCTAGCTTCACGAGACATAAGCCTCGAGGCTAACCGAAGCGTAATCCTCACGGGACTATTAATATATAATTATATAAAATTGTATATCTCATAATTTTATATCAAAATGAGAAATAAGAAAAGTTAGTAGCTCAAATGTGTAACACAAAATCCTTAAATGCCAGATGTTAAGCCTTCCGATTTAGATAGAGAATTTAAGAAGGTGCGAAGGTGAGAGAGAAAGTGATGAGGGAGGTTTATTAGGTCACAAAGGGTTTATGAAGTCTTTTAAGTATACATATAGATTATAAGAAATCAAATATCCTCCTACTTTTTTCTATTACCATCTTCCTACACACTTTAGATTGTGATATTTTTCATATTTAATAAAATTAATAAAGATTTATTACACTTGTCATCACCTAAAAGTGGTAAGGGGATGGGTAGGAAGAACAAGTGGGAGGATATATAACTTATCTATGATAAATAAGTAATTATCAAAGAGGTGATAATTGAGTCAAAGTAAAAAAAGTAAAAAAAAAAAAAAAAAAAAAAAAAAGCCAAAATGTCAATGAAAATAATCAAAATAGTGTGTTTGATGCATCTTAAGCCTCAACACCTCGCCTCATAGCCTCACGCTGCCTCACATCACCTCACTCCGGTGAGGCTTAAGCCTCATTCTAGCCATATGAGGCTTAGGATTTGAGGCTTTTTTCCCTCGCCTAAGCCGAGGCTAGCCTCGAGGCGTAAGCCTCAAAAAGCCTTTTTAAACTATTGCCATGAGTAGGCATGACATGAACTAACCCACCACCTGCAGAAAGGAAGCCTTTTTCATTTAAGGGAGATATAAAAGTGAATGAAACAGAGTTTGGAGGAGAGCTTCTAAAGACACAGACCACTCCAAACAAAGATAGCTCCGAGTGTTTTTTAAAATAGAGAAAATTGTTTGATATACAGAAAATTCTTATAAAGCTCCTTGTCTTCTTTTCTAATTTGTATTAACTCATGAAAAACTCGTTGAACATCCGTTCAAGGGTGCCCTGTTCTAAACCTTGAACAAATCAGCAAAAGAAAAACTATACTAACATAACTGAAGACAAACTCAGAAACTTTGTTGTTAATAAAGACCACATTTCAATTGAAGCAGTAAAATTTATAGGCAAAATCCAAGATCAATTTATCCATACACATAAAGAACCCTAAATTAGTTGAAGAACGCTTACTTGAAGGGATTGACATATTCAGTGGTGTTGAAGATGATGTCATACTTTGATTATTTTCAGTTCCTGTAATGATGCCTCATTGGTAGTCTGATAGGTCGATTTTTACACATATGCTCATGGTGTTTATATGGAAAATATGTATGAGGGAAAGAGTCAAATAGATAATTAGATGTCCCCTCATTTTATGTTTCTCCCATATGGCCATATGTGTTAATTTTTCACCACTGCATCTTACCAATAAGTTATAGAACAACACACATTAATTCCCTCAAGTTATAGACAAAATGTTATATCCATCCATGTAATAAATATTACAAAATTTATGGTACAAATTAAACGTAATTGTACAAAGCATGTAATAAATATTACAAAATATATAGTCCATAGGCGACATTGACCAGTTATTTTCCAACATAAGCGTTTTTATGCATGTCCTGTTAGGAATATTCAGCAATTCATTTAATTTTCCTTATCATATTATGATCTTTTGGCCTCTACATCAATTTATTGCAACAGCTAAGCAGTTAATGGAGAGTGAAAGTGTGGCACTAATAGGTCCAGAATCATCAGCTTTCACTCATATGATCTCCTACATCGCGAAAGAACTCCAAGTTCCTCTACTATCTTTCACAGCCACAGACCCTACATTGTCCTCGCTTCAATGTCCATTCTTTTTGCGAACAACTCACAGTGATCTATTCCAAATGGCTGCCATAGCAGACATAATCGACTACTATGAATGGAGACAAGTGGTAGCCATTTACATTGATGATGATCGTGGGAGGAATGGCATAACTTCATTAGCAGATCAATTAGCTGCCAAAAGGTCGAAGATCTCACATAAAGCGCCTATCAATCCCGATGCAACACATGAAGACATACGAAATGTTTTGCTTCAGGTTTCGTTCATGGGAATCAAGAGTTATTGTTGTTCACACATGCACCAACTGGGGATTAGATATACTTAATGTTGCTCAAGATCTTGGTATGATGGATAGTGGGTACGTTTGGATCACAACCGACTGGCTTTCTACCATCATAGACATAAGCTCGCCACTCCCAAGAAAGTCCATTGCTTCTATGCAAGGAGTTATTACACTGAGATCATACATCAAAGATTCAGACCTTAGAAGAAAGTTTGTTACCAAATGGGAAAACATGACCACATTTGGCGTGAGTACCGTATTCTCTATATGCATACGACACTATTTGGCTGCTTGCTCGTGCTCTTGATGATTTTTTTGATCAGGGTGGGAACCTTTCGTTCTTGAAAGCTCCTCAAATGAAGGACTCACAAAGCAGATTCTTGAATCTTGATTCTTTCAGAGTTTTTAGTGGAGGGAAAATCTTGGTTGAAAAAATCTTAGGAGCCAAAATGAACGGAACAACAGGACCCATCGAGTTCACTTCCGATAAAAGCTTGGATTTTCCAGCATTTGAAGTTATTAACGTAATCGGTACTGGGTTTAGGAGAGTTGGGTATTGGTCAAACTCATCACGTCTGTCCACTTCTCCTCCAGAAACACCCAAAACAAACGAATCTAGTTCGTCGTCTGAGCTGTTGCATAGTGTAGTTTGGCCAGGTGAAACCGTTAAAAAGCCTCGTGGATGGGTTCTTCCACAGAATGGAAAACATCTGAAAATTGGGGTTCCAATTCGAGTCAGTTTTCAGGACTTCGTGAAAGAAGTCAACGAGACTGATAGGTATGTAGGATACAGCATCGATGTGTTTGTTGCTGCAGTGAATCTGCTTCCATATGCTGTGCCACATAAGTTCTATTCGTATGGAGATGGTCATAAGAACCCGAGTTACACTGATCTCATGAGCTTGGTCAGCACTGGTGTGAGTGTTTCTTTCTACCTCTTCAATCTTTTCTATTTAAAGGTACTGCATGATTTCTTTCGATCTTTATGAGCTAATGAATGTACAGGTCTATGATGCTGCGGTGGGTGATATTGCCATTATCACCAACCGAACAAGGATGGTGGATTTTACTCAGCCGTATATTGAGTCTGGGCTAGTTGTGGTGACACCGGTGAAGAAGCTAAGCTCTGGAACATGGGCTTTTTTCAGGCCGTTCTCTGCTGAATTGTGGTGTGTTATTGGGATTTTTTTTGTAGTAGTGGGAGCAGTTGTTTGGATTCTAGAACATCGCAAAAACGTTGAATTTCGTGGTACTCCTAAACAACAGGTTGTCACAACCCTATGGTAAGTGTAAATGTGTGTGTGTGTGTGTTTTGTAATTTAGACCTAATACTTCTAGGTTTGGGCATTCTAGAGTAGTAGCTGGTGTTGGAATTTCTTTGCTCCACCAATTCTTGTGACTTCAAAAGAGTCTTCATTTTTATACTGCAAGAATGAATATTGTTACCTTTGGAAATTGGGATAAAGGGTTAAGACAAAGGATTTGCAGTGTTGTTCGCCATTGTTTGCACTCCTATATGTTCTCTGTTTCACTTGGGAAACACTTTTTTCTATTCTCTGTGTTTCAGTACTCCAGGACTCACCTGGTATGAGAAAGAGAGACTTTGCTCATGTCCACTTTCCTCAAGTTCTACAATTACCCCAAACTCAGTGTTTGATAACACAAAGTGAAAAAGGGAGTTATATAAAAACTCAAGCAGAAAGAAAGAGTCCTTATTTATTCAACCGCTGTAACATAAAATTAAGGAAAACCAAACAATTTACAATGCAAATTTTGAAAAGCTACCAAAGCTGAAAACATCACAAGGCATGTCCCTTGATCTACCACACTACCCAAAAAACAAGTTTATCACTAATAAGACCCATTAATGCTTATAAAGTTTTAGATCGTTATTCAGTATAGTTAGTATTCGTTAGGATGTATACTTCATTATTTTCTTACTAATGGTCTGTGTTTTGTTCTTTGCAGGTTTAGCTTTTCTACCCTATTTTTCTCCCACAGTAAGTTACTACATATGAAACCAACTAAGGTCTTTTATCTTTTTGACATGGTGAATTTAACGTATATGTATGTGGTTCTTTTTTACTCGAGTATTAAGTTCACGGATAGCAACCTGCTTTTAAATTATGTTTATTATAGCATCCTACTCCGACGTCTTATTATATAGAATTGTACAATTGTATAATATTGTAACGTAACAAATGACTGGATGATGTTTTAAATCAAATTAATGAAAGTACATTGTCATTAACCCTTGACTTGAATCTTAATGCGGAAACAATGATTTACTGGAGAAAGCAAGGGAAAGGAGGATTTTCCTTTGAGTCTTGATATTTTACATGTTTGCCATCATTTTCTCAAATTTTGTAGACATCATTTATCCATAACAACACTTAATGGGGAAACGAAGAGACATAACATTAATAATCCTTCCTCCTCCCAAGGGTGGCGTTTACCTTTTTTGAAAAACATATTGCTTCATTTGACGATTTCTTTCTATATGCTAAAA